TTTGGGTCGATTGAATCGGTAAAAGAGAATTCGCTGAAGGAACTAAAAGCCATACCTTCACGGGCCTACGAAAAGTATATGGAAGATTGGGTTAAGCGTTGGCATATGTGTATCGCTTCAGAAAGAGCATATTTTGAAGGAGATAAAATAAATTTGGAATAAAATTTAAGTTTGTGTGTTTTATTTAAATCCGAGTACTTTTTGAGCAGAAGTTACAAAAGACATATTTTTGAAAAACAAATTTTTCTTTCATAAATTTTCTTTTCACAAACTTTTTAAATACTTACTTTGCTTTATTTTTATTTTAAAAAGAAAGTATTTTATTTTTTGAAATTACTCAAATATGTATCTAATGCTAAAAATTTAGTATATAAAAGAGCTTACTATACATATTGTATCCAAATAGAATATTACTGCTTTTATAATTTTCATATGGTTTGGTATTACTTAGTAGAAGTGAAAAAAGAAATGGTAGGTTAGGTTAGGTTAATATGGCAATTAGTTGAGTTGACTTATTTAATTCGGCAATATGGGCCCATTGTAATACCAGAGCTTAAAAGCGGACCTTTACAAGGGACTCAAAATAACAGTTATTTCAAAAATTTTTAGGAAACAAGCAGCAACAAAAAGTTGTCTAAACTCATATTTAAGTATATAGTTATCATTTTACATGTAAGGTTGTTGATTTTTTAATTTTATACAAAATGTATATATGCATTTTGTTAGGTATAATCTTAATATAAAACCATCTAGATCTGATTAGTTTCACGTTTTCTATAGGATATAACCACTAATCGATATTAATATTAGAGTAATTATATCAGCTGCATTATGCTTTGAGTGCATTTTTAATCAATAATAGTTTTACGATCTCATTAAGGATGTACTTGTGATAGTTGATGTTTTTATTTTGAAATGAATTTAAGCTAAATTAGTTCGTTGTAATGATATTTTATTTTAGTTCCACGTTGAACAATTTTGTCATATTAATGTTAGCAATCTATGAAATATCACTAAACTCACAGTAATCTAATATAGCAATAATTCATTTGTTATGCCCTGGGCAGAAACATGGAGCTTTTTGGGTTTTTTCTTGTTCCTCTTCATCAAAAGTTCTGTAGCAGCCATAAAATGTAATACTAACTGTTGCATACGACAGTATCCGATGATGATACCAATTAGAATCGAAATCTCACTCTTTCACAACTTATAAATTCCTAATTTCAGTACCTATTAAACAGTTTAATCTTATTTACTTCTTCCATATTCTATAGAAATTTGCATTCGCATATAAGGAGTGTAAAGAATATACTTCCAACTATTAAACCATCTATTCAAACGTTGTATTACAAATCCGTTTATGAGATTAGATTTTGTCACTTTCCAGTAAAAGTTGAGTTAAAGTCACTTACTCAGTTTTATAAGTTGAAATTCTATACCGAAACCTTTGTATTCTATTACATTGTATTTTCGCATAATTGGAATTGAAATCCATATTTCAAACTTCTTTTGGTTATCCTTTGATGAACATTCATAAGTAATGTTAGCTTAGGAAGTTAATACGATTTGCATGAAATTCTGTTTATTTAAACATTTCTTAAACTGAAATTCTGTTTTCTGCCTTAACAAATGTCAAATTCATAAATCTTTATTACGTCAATTTGGTTTAAGATAATAGTTGCATTGTCTCCTTTAAGTACTTTGTTGCCCTTGTGTCCTTTTGCAAATGCACTTATATTAATCATAAATCATAAATCATCTGACTACAAGTAACGGAGTTTTTGAATCTAATGTTTTGTTTTAAATATAATTATGATTCAGGTATTTGTTTTTTTAAAAGTGCATACATATAACATACAAATAGTTAAGAAAAGGATTGCAAAATGTACATACGAATTAGTATATATTTCTATGCTGTAAAATAACTATCTTAAACAGGAGCTATTGGCATCAACAGAATTCATAAAAGGTTCCTGATTATTGTAGTCATACATTGTCATACATGATATTCTTTTACTAAAAGTTTAAGACACTCTCTAGCACCTTCTTGGCATAGCTTTGTCAAAAATGAAGACAACAGTTACTAACGTTCTTTAATTGTGAAATGCATGCGCAACACAGATAGATATATCTGCCGAATGAATACTGTTTACAACGACTACCATCGAAAACGTGAGTGAAAGTAGAAAAGAAGATTCACTGGATAGAGTTTTTTTACTACTTTAAATATTTATCAGACGTAACATTGGTTTCTTAGTTCAAAACTTCATTTCTCTTCTAAATACGTTTAATAGCTGGTTTAAGACTTCTCTTGCAAAAGGCCCATCTTAAATTATTCTTCTAGTAGACGAACAATTATTATCTATTTATCAATCTAACTGACGTCATTTAAAATACGAATTCTTAAAAAAACCAATCACAAAACATTTACTTGCATATTTTCTGGATAACTTCATTCAGTATATTTTATTAAATTGTTTTTCGGAGAAAAATTCTTTAAGGATTTGTTATAGATTCGTTTTTATTATTCATCATTTATTTCATCTGAATGTAAGGATGATATAATTTTCCTGATGTATGTGAATCATATGACTAAGGGATAAATTTATGCATTGTTTTGCATTTCAGTTTTCTTTGCAGTCTGACAATTGTGGAATTTAGTGAAAGTGCAAGAGAAAATGTTCAATCAAACTTTATCCAACAATATTTCAAAATTGTTAGACAACGAAATTCCATTTTTGAAGGATTTTACTTGTGTTACTCATTTCACTGCTCGGTACTTTTTTATGTTGGCAATCAGATCAAGTTGGAAAAGTAAACAGTAATAGTGTAACACGTCACGTAAGATACATTTCAGTAATATGAGCTATGAACTATGAAATATGAGATACCAAATAAATTGCATGTCTGTTGATTTCAAAACAAAATGTACGAGTGTTTTCCCCTTTACCTCTCGGCCTGACGTCAGAACTGGAATTGTTTAAACAAGCTGGCATCCATTTGAAACAAAATAGCATTTGCAAATGAAGGTAATAACTGTTAGTAATGAATTTAGAAGTTTAGATCTGCCATAGTTACAGTAGTCAAAATGAGTAAAATAGGAAGCTGTAGAGGTTTTCTTCGTTTTCTATCGCTTTTGTAGGGATAGAGCTCACTTTTCTGAATACGAAAACGTGTTTTTTAGATGCAAATTCACAAATGTGTTTTAAAGTTTAATTTTAAAAACATTTTATTTAATTGAGAATCTGCAAACTGCTACTAAAATTGGTTGAATAAAATTGGCATAGAACTCAATTGCTTAGAAGAATTTTTTTTTACGTTTATATTATTTTTCAATGCAAAAATCCATTTCCAAAAATCTGAAAATCCTTTTCATTCTGTGTAAATTGCAAGAAAATAGAATTTTGACTGCAAAGGCATTTTTCGGGTTTCGTTTCATTTTCTGCTCTTGATGGACCAAAGAAGTTAAATGCGAAATAATCACCATTTCAAGACAATAACCAATTGTATACATGTTGCTTAATGAAATGGAATTCGTAAATTTGCTCTGAAATATTTGCAATCAAGCATCAATTTTCTCTTTACTTGTGAATTCAATTCTAAGGATTTCAATTACTATGTCATATTTTAGTTAAACTTTAATTATAGTATGAAAACCACAACAACTAAAGCAAAAACTCGCAAAAATTCACAAAAGTAAGTCAGAAGTTATCTTCAGTTTAACTCTTAGGTTTGCAGAGTTTCATTATTCAGAATGATAGTTGATAGTCTTTGTTTTAGAAAAAAAGAAAATAATCATGTTTATTGTATCATTAAAAAGTGTTCATAAATATAATAAATAATATTTACCTTATTAAACTGGTAAGTGCTACTCTTCGACAGTTTTTGATAACATTTCAGTCATATAAATACAAACCTAAAAATGACAAACCTAAATATATCTCTTTTCAGTAACCCAGTACCTCTAATTGTTTCAGTTAAAGTCCTGTAGAGATATCTGATTCCTTCATAATATCCGCACGCCAGATGAGATGGGAGTAGGTTTAACTCTGAATTTCACAGAATCTGTAGGTATCAGTGGCGTTTAACACATCTAGTTTATATACTAGTAATTAATCTGAGTTCAGATTTAATTAAACTGAGAGACATGCCATTTGTGT